CTTCTTCCTCCTCCAGGTTGCACCCCCCACCCACACACACACACACACACACACACACATACCAGGTACCCGTAGGGGGCTTGGCCTCTTCAGAAGTGGGCATGGCCTGTGTAGAAGTGGGCGTGGCCTAATTTTGGGCTGGCAGCTGCAGGTAGTTTACCCATACCCAGCAATCTCAGTCTCCATACCTCCACACCAACATGAAGAAACAACGTAAATCCCCACCAAGAGAGGAGGACAATGAAAAGAGTCCAGAAGCCTCAGTAGGTGCTACTCACCTAAGGGACCTCTCTGAGAAAGAATTCAGATATGAAGTAATGAAGATGTTCAATGAACTCAATGAAACAGTGAGACAAATATCTAGTAAATTAAAGGAGGACATGAAAGAAACAATCGAAAAATTATGGGAAGAAATGAGAGCAGAAATTGGAAAGCTACACACAGAAATGTCATGAATAAAAGATTCCGTAGCTGAAATAAAAAACTGTCTGTGCCCTCAAAAGTAGAATGGCCACAGCTGAAGACAGAATCAGTGAGCTGGAAGATCAGCTGCACCAAGCCTACAGGCAACAACGAACAATGGCAAGAGACCTCAAAATAGCTCTAGAGCAAATCAGGGTCCTAGGAGACGATTCCAAGAGGAACAACATTAGAATCATTGGAAACAATCCCAATGAAAACTGTCCCCTTCTTGTGGAGAAAGAGAACAAGCAGGACAGCAGGGCTTTGACACGACAGTGCTTCTCAATGGCAGAAGAACGTGTGCCACGTGGGCTCCAGCACCCCCACTGGCTCCTCTGCCCACCCACACACTCTGTTTCCTTGCCAGGCTCTCTCCATGACTGCTGCTCTGCTTATTGGACAAGAATTGTAGAAACCTGTGTTCTAATCCGTGTGGACAGGCCCCACCTGTGTCTTGCAATTTTATTATTTTTATTTTTAATCAATTTTTATTAATTTATTTATTTTGCTTTTTGGGTCACACCTGGCGATGCTCAGGGGTTACTCCTGGCTTTGCACTCAGGAATTACTCCTGGCAGTGCTCAGGGGAGCATATGGGATTCTGGGAATTGAACTCAGGTCGGCTGCGTGCAAGGCAAACACTCTACCCGCTGTGCTATCACTCCAGCCCCCAATTTTTAAAATTATTTGATTTGGGGGCCATACCCAAATGGGTGATGCTCAGGTGTTACTCCTGATTCTAACACTCAGGAATCACTGCTGGTGATGCTGTGGGGACCATAGGAGGTGCCAGGAATTAAACCCGGGTCAGCCATATGCAAGGCAAGTGCTTTACCTGCTGTACTATCTCTTCGGCCTTTTCTTAAAACTTTAACGCACACAGACCTCACTAGGCTCTTAAAAAAATGTGATAAACCTCCAGATTCCTGAAGACAGAGCCAGGGTTAAGCCCTGAGCCCCAGCCGGTGTGGCCCAAACACAGACACACACAGATACACAGACACAGACACACAGTCACAGCCACACACACAGCCACACAGACAGACAGACAGACAGACAGACAGACAGACACACACACACACACACACACACACACACACACACACACAGAGGTAATCAAATAAATGGCCTTTCCTTATCATTTCAAATCGAAAGGCTGCTTCCCAAGGGGCAGAGGCAGTGAGTGGAAGCTGAATTTTGAATGTTCTCTTTCAACATTAGGGCAAGCAGAGGTCACTGGGCCCGTGGCCATGATCCGGAGGAGTGTCCTCTCCCCTGAGATGCTCCTGTGATTAGACAATTATTAGCCAGTTTATCGCATTCATTCACTTCTTGAATAAAAGAGCCAAGTCTTCGGGCTGGAGGATCAACATGGATGCCTGAGCAAAAGATGTTTGGTGGGGACACAAAGAAAGGACGACAAAGGAAGCTGCTTGCAGCAAGCAGGGAAGCTTCTGGAAAGCTCAGGGGTGACAGGAAATTTGTTAAGAGGCTAAGGGGGGAGGGCAGGGAGTGGATGGTGAGGCATGCAGCAGCAACGTGACCCGGCTGAGAAGTACTAGCATGTGTGCTCTGAATTGCTCACTTGACACGGAACAAATCACAACCCAGTGGAACTTTCCTGAAGTCATTATTCATGGCTCCATCCGGAATCAGATCCCATCTAGCTTCCCCGCTGTGTACCAGATCCTGAGGGTTGTTGTGAATATACATTCCGTCCTGTAGGCCCTTATGGGACACCATCAACTTGACCTCACATGCACACAGGGTACAGCCGAAATCCCCCCTTCTTTGGCTACACTTTTTGTTTTGTTTTGGGGCCACACCCGGAGATGCTCAGGGGTTACTTGTAGAGGTGCTCGGGGGATTATATGGAATGCCAGGGATCGAACCTGGGTCAGCCACTTACAAGGCAAATAACCTACTCACTGTACTATCTCTCCATCCCCATTGGCTACATTTCTTTCCCCTTGGGAAATTTCCTCCCACCACTCCAGCCTTCTCTTCATGCCCGTTTTGTGAGCTCTTTCTCCAAATGCTGAAAACCCCTTACCTCTTACTCCACACCCATTTCCTCCTTCAATTTCGGTCACACTGTCCTGTCCTGTGACTTTAAATCCCACCCATCTGCTCACAGCTTCCAAGGGTCACTCTGCACACTGACCTCAACTCCAAGATCCATCCAGAATTAGAACTCCAATGGGCTCTTTTCCTCTTTTTCCACTTGGAAATCTCTTGGGCATCTCCAAGTTAACACGTTCAAAAGCCAAGTTTCTTATTCCATCCATTCTTCCCCTTTCTCTCCGGGTCCCCAGCCCTGCTTCTCCTCCTTGCCATGCAAGTTCACTCTCCACACACCGAATCAGGGCCCTGAAGCACCAAGATGGGTTTCATCTTGTCTTCTTAGGCTGTAACTACAATATTCCGCAGAGTGGCCACTCCACTATCCTCGCTTACAGAATGAGGCTCCGATGGTAACATGAGGAAGGAGTCTGAGTACAATGCAAAACACAACACACACACACACACAATCTCTTCCAGCTCACGCGGATGGACAGGTGCCTCACCATGCCGATAAACCCCAGCTGGGTCCTGCAGCCCTGCCCCAGCCTTGGTCGTGCTCACAGCTCATCATTTCACCATATTTCTCCCCTCAAAACTGGAACAGCCCACGAGGCCCACGGCTGCCTCTCATGCCCGATTCTTACACATTCCAGTCCAGTCAAACATTGCAGCTTAGCACCAGTATTCCCTCCTCAGAAAGATTTCCCTTAACCCTGTTATCCACGGTCCCTCGCTAGGATTCTTACCTCACAGCACCCTATCTCTGGCGAGGCACATTACAGTCCTTAGTGATACTCATCTCTTCGATGGTCTCTCCCACTGGACAAAATATATGAGAGAGGGTGGGCTCTGGTCTCTAATGCAGAGCATTGGGCCCCTGACAAGGGCCCTCAACTCAGGAGGTACTTGGCAAACATTAAATGCGTGGACAAATGAAAAGATTCAAAAAGGAAGATCTAAGAAAACTCTACGGGGATCATGTCCCTGGGGTAAGAGGCAGTGGTAATGAACTCAGACTCACTGAATGTCTGATGTACCTAATGAAATTTAGACACTTTATTCCCTCTCTAAGTAAAGTAAAGTAAAGGCCCTCCCGTTGATCATCGATTTGCTGGAGCGGGCCCAGTAACGTCTCCATTGGAGACTTTGTTGTTACTGTGTTTGGCATATCGAATACATTCCCTCTCTAAATTCTCAATAATCCCAGGAGGTCCGAATGAGTACAGCTCTAGATCAGGTAATTAAAGCTCAACCTCAACAGTGAAACCAGTAACACCAGAGCAAGACCTGTTAAGTTCCGCTTTCTGAAAACTAAACTCTTGTCCCTCACTGAGTACTTCCCTATTAAGCTAACACACTGCACTTATATATGATGAATACATTTTACCCCAAGAGCCAGCTTTTGGTTTTCCTCTGCACAGATTCATCCTAAAGGCTGTTTCAAGAGTCTCTCGTTACCTGGGTGGGATAAGCGAAGACAGAATGATGCAGCAAATTGAAAGTACGGACACTTAGCCTGGAACTGGTTTCTTTGACCTAGTCCTCTTCTCTGTGTAAGGCAGTGCTGTGATTAAGAAGTAGGTGTGCAATGTGGATCCACTTTATGGGATTTAAGATCAACGCTACAGCAAATGATGTGTGTTGCCCAGTCAGCAAAGACAGCTCTGCTGACCACGAATGAAACAGGCAAAACTCAACCGTCTATGGACATCCAACCCACATTCTGATTTAATTAGCACAGGATCCAAAGGTCTAAACCAAAGTGGGCGACTCTGATGCTAGGAGTGCTGCAAGGGCTGGGAGAGAGGGAGCAGCCTTGGGTCTGGCTGGGGTGCACGTTCTGTTAAGGGGGGCAGATTTCCAGGGGCATCGGATAACTTTCTTTCCATAAAAAAAAAAAGGAGTGATGGGAATCTCTGCTTTAAACACACAAATCAAACCACCTCGATTTTCACTCATGACCACCGTTGGGTGACGTAAAGTGTCAACCACAGAAAAGGGGAGTTGGGGTAGGTCCAAAACAGTTCTGCACAGGCATATCAGAACAGAAGGGGCCTCTGGGGCAGACCATCTTCTTAAATTCCCTCTTTGAACAAGTCAGCAAACAGGCCCAGGCAAGCAGTGAGGTGCATGCCTAGGCAAAGCAAGATTCCTGGCACCTAATCAAGTGGACATTCTACTACCCCAAGGGCCTCCCTAATCAAGAGCTAGTGATTATGTCAAGTTACCAGGAGAGAGATAACACGGGTTATAACCCCCAGTGTTTCTCTTACACTCCAGCATTTACTTATTTATTTGGGGGGGAATCATACCCTGCAGTGCTCAGAGCTTATTCCTGGAGGGTTTGGGGGACCATATGGAATGCCAGGGATCAAACCCGGGTCAGCCATGTGCAAAGCAAGTGCCTTACCCACTCTGACCCTCTTCAGCATTTGGAAAAACCCTCAACAAAATGATACACAACACAAAGAAGATAAGGAAGAACTATTTTAATTTTCTATTAAACATTCTTTCAAAAGCATTATTTTATCTTACTGAATTATAAGAAATACATTAGTATTAGAAAAACTAGGAAGGAAAATTAAATGTGAAAAATTAAACTTATATGAGAAAGAAAAATTATAATAAAGGACTGAGAACTTTACAAATTTAATTAAATTAATTAATATAACATGAAAACTGTGCATCTCAAAGCAAAGTGTTTATTCAAGTTTTAACAACAGCACTTTATAATTTCAATACACTGATTTTTTTTTCAAGAAGGAAATCCATTTAAAAATACTTTTCTTTTAAAAATAGGCCTGTGTTCAACTACAGATTTCTCCCCCCATGCTCTGATCATATTTCCTTTATTTTGATTTGGGAAGAAAATACCATTTCTGTTGGCATGAAATGCAAAATCTGGGTTGTTTCATTTTTTCTTAAAAAAGATCCCAGTACAGAACTTTTTAATGAAAAATAGATTAAGGTATTAAGTGCACAACACTAAATATTGGCCAACTATCGGTATTCACTTTCTTCCCTAGTTCTCCCAAGGAGAAGCTGAATTGAATCATCAGCAGAATAATCCTTAGAAATACTTTATAAGCAAAATGAGAGCTTTTGTTTACATAGTTTTTGGATTTTGCTGTTCCTAATTTTATTCTGAAACTCAATTTTATCCCACACCATAATTACCATATTTAACTTTGTAATGCACAGTTTGTATGTGATTCAGCATAGCAGTAGTATACGGCCAGACTCTAATTCACCCAGCGTTAGGAAAAACAGGGTCGGACACACCCATTCAAAAACATATCTCATGCTATTTGCCAATGGATAGTTGCAGCCTAAGTCCGGACAATGAACTAGAGGGAGAAGCATCTGTAGAGCTCATCCCGACTCCCAAACCAGCGGGCAGGGAACTCTTCACAGCTTCGCTTTCCCGGGCTGCAGCTGAAGGTTCTGCAACTTCATCGCCATGCCCATGTTGCCTGAGATTTTCAGTTTGCCTTGGAAAAAGGCCTGAGAGGAAGAAGAAAGAACATCCGTTACTCGGAGGACTTTCCTTTGTTCCGATTTTGAGATCGCTGACAGTTTTAGAAGAGCCAGCCTTAAGAGTACTGAGTTATCCAGGTTACTGACATTTTCTTCTGGGAATAGATTTAGGACCTCGTTTCTCAAGTAAAAAGATCTGCAGACTGAAATCCAAAGCTGCACCTTTCCCAAATGTCCTCTTGTAGAAAGTGACTCCTTTATCTGCCTTCCTCTGAGGCGGCCAAGTGGCCTCACACTCGGCTGGGAATGAAAAGTGAATTCCTCACTAGGGTGCCGGGGGAAAGCACGGGCAGGGCTCGCTGAGAAGCTCTTGGGATCCAATACCATGTAGGTGAAAGGTGGGCTGCTTCCTCCCCGGCCCCTTCTCCAGTCCACACAGTAAAGGATTTACCTCCACCACGGGGCAGGCGGACTGCCGAGACTGAGGTGCTTGTCAGAATTTGGGGCTGAGGAATCAAATTGATCTGGAGCGCAGAACCAAGAGTTGTTCCATTGAACAACTGCCTAGGATCCGAGCACATGATGCTTGCTAAATTTATCATGCAACAAAATCCCAGGGAGACTCAAGAGAAATAACCAAATTGGGAACACAGCACAGTTTCCCTATGATCTCAGTCTTTGACTTTTTCAAATTTTTTCTTTTTGGCTTTTGGGCCACGCCCAGCAGTGGTACTTCGGGTTTACTCCTGGCTCTGCACTCAGAGGTCAGTCCTGGCAGGGCCCAGGGCACTCTCTGGGGTTCTGGAGACGGAATCTGGATTGGTCACATGCAAGACAAGCACTTCAGCCACTGTATTCTCTCTCTGGCCCCATGCATGCAATTTTGAAAATAAGGGAGGGTTAGATGGAAGAAGCTTCTGGTAGGCTTACACTTCTAGGCTAGTACATTTGGACGATAGGAGTTCTCCGTCTCACCCCCAGGAATACAGAGCTCTGCTTTTCCTACACCTCTGGTAAGGGTGACTAATTCCAATCCCCCCCCCCCTTTTTTTGCATGCTCTCCCTCTTTCCCTCCTGTCTGGACAAACTAAATATTTCCTCTCAATATGGCACACAGCCGCTTCTGTCTGATGATGTAAAGGTCAGATGTTTCAGAACACGATATATTTAACACATGTCCTTTAAATATATGGACCATATATGAGCTTAAAGAGAAATTCATCTTCTTTCCCTTTCTTGAATTCAGAGGGGAAAAATGACTTTGTATTTACTAATTACTATGAAGAGAACATAAATCTTCACCGTTCAGGAAACCCAAACACGAGGCTCACTTTACCCTGGTCCCTAGGTGTTCTCCGCACAGTCTTTCAGCTGGAAAGCACACTCCTTTTTCTCAGCAGCGGCCAAACACTAAAACGACCGCTCCCAATGCCTTTAATGGCTTCTGGTCAAACTCTCTACTAAGCATAAGGAAAGGCCATTGACACATTCATAAAAAGTTCTACAACTTTTATCTTTAATTTCTTTGGGCACTAACAGGTATTCAAGGAAAACAAGCAGACACTTTGCTCCCTCTAGCAGCTAGACCTAAGGGCCACTCCTGTGACATCTGTCAAGGAAGGGCCGAGTGCCCGGCAGGGTGAGGGGCCGTGGGCAGGCGGACAGCCAGCAGCTACCCTGGTGGCCTGTGTTCGGGCCAGATTTTTTGGAGCAGGCTCAGTGCTCAGACGTGGCAGTGCCAATGGCGCACATTCAGCTGAAGGATCACAAATGTGAATCTTCTACTTGTCAACACATCTACGGATAGATGGTTAGTTGCTTAGAAAAAGCACTTATTTTTTTTTTTTAAAAAAACAGCTTTATACAGATAGTACTGTTGGACAAAGCACTGAGCACATGTAAATACGATTTACACGTTTAAACAGATGAATCCACCAACTGAACCATCACCACTATTAAGATGGTGAAAATATTCATCACCTTTAAAAGCTGTCGACATGCCCTTGGACTACCCCCTCCTGCTCCTCACCCACCCAAGCCCCAACTCCAGGCAACACTGCTAGAGAAGAATATTTTAAAAGGAACCAGAGCAGAAGTCAGACGTAGTTGTTGTATCCAATTTTGTGAATTACCAGGGAAACACACCAACAAGACCTAAAACAAATCAGGCTGAAGCAACAAAAAAGGAAGGACGCGATGAGAGAAGCATCGAGTTTCTTTTCTTGTTATCTCTGGTTAAGGCTGTTTCCCAAAGTGGGTGATACCACTCTTTGGGGGTACAGGATCGATCCAGTGGAGGCAGCAGTGGGCTGGGGTGCAATGGGAATGGTGGTGGTGGTGAGTGGACTTGCTGTTTGTTCACAAGGTAGATTTCCAGGGGGCGGCTGAGTAAATCCCCTCCCCCACCAGAAAAGGGGGTGGTAAGCCAAATGCATTTAGGCTAATGAGAGCTCAGTAGATCAAGTCTGTTCAATGCTGTGTGACTAGACTATAAAAGATCCTTGGCAATGTAAGGAGCAGAAAAACGCCTATGAACCATAATTACGTTTTTGGGTTTTTTTTTTTTGGGTGGGGGTATTGTTTGGGGGCCATATTTGGCAATGCTCAGCATTTCTCCTGGCTCTGTGCTCAAGGATCACTCCTGGTGGTGCTCAGGGGACCATGTGGGGTGCTGGGAACAGAATCTGGGTTATATCACTCTGGCCCCTCCATAATTACACTATAGGCAATTACAATTAATTCTGAATTTGTGGGGTGCGAGAGATAGTTCAATGGGCTAGAGTTGTCCCTGAGCACCACTGGGTATGGTCCCCAAACCAACAGCTACAAAAAAATAAAAATTAAAAATAAATCAAAAATTATGGAAAAAGACCATCATGCACCATGCTAAGTTCTGGAGACCTGCAGACAAACATCCTGTCTAACAAGGACGCAATGGGGTCATCAGGACCGGCATATGTGACAAGCACTAAGTTAGCAGCCCAGTGATAGGTCCAGGGAAGGGAGTGGCTCTGGCTCCCACACAGAAGGCCTTTGGAGGGGGCTCTGTCTACGAAAGAGAGTTCAGGCACAAGAGAGTCCAGGGCCAGCAAGCATAAGCCATGGGCAGGAGTGCAGGCAGGAGGCCTGAGTTCCATCCCTGGCACCGCCCACTGTCCCCGAGCACTACCGAAGCTGGGAGGAGCCCTTGAGCAGCACTAGGTGCGGGCCCAACCCCTGCACCCCACACGCCCACACAGGCGAGGCCTTCACACCCTTTCCTCTGGATTGTTCCCACTGCCCATCCAGGCGCCGCTAACTCATCACACCGAGCACCAGCACAGGTCACTTCCTCCGTGATTCTCTCTGGCGGTGCAGAGAAGGGCTCAGACCCACAGCGGCTCTTTCCTCGCCCCTCCCACCCGTGTCAGCCACGAGACCTCAGGCCTTGGCTGCCCTCCGTTTGCTTACCTGCCTAGTGCTGAATGCTGGGTGCCCTGAGCCTGGGGACTCCTATTTCTCTGGGTGTTTCTGGCATACAAGGGGGCGAGTGGTACCGAGTTGGAACCCCAAGTGGCCATCATTGGTCATGTGACTATGCGGTGGGGAACTGGGTTTGGAGTCCCCCCAGGCTGCAGGAGACCCCCCCCAATCCCACCAGCGAAAAGAACAAACAGACTCCCTGACACTTACCGACTGAGGGTTCATTTTCCCAGTCATCAGGGCCATCAAGTCGGAGTCCGCCATCGTGATTGTGCAGTCGGCCTTCTTATCTGAAAGAGCAGAAGGCAGGGGGGAGGGTTGGGTGCTGTTCTGGATTCAAATCCTGCAGAAGGATCCCATCCAAGACGACAGCAGTGTGGGCACAATTGGGCAAGCCACGTAGGAGGGCGCTGCAGGGAAGGATCTGCTGGGGTTGTGGCTCAGCTGCTGAGCACTTGCCCTGCACGTGGAAGTTCTTGGGTTCGACCCCTGGCATCGCAAAAAGAAACAAACGATACGGAGGTCAATAAAACAGAGGTCAATGACAGCAGCAGGCTCAAAGGGCTCGTGCTCCCTGCTGTAATCTACACCACAGTTTGAAAGTCGCACATGTGAACAGGGGACAGAATCAGATTAGGCAAAGCCTGCGGACAGAAGACCGGAAAGGCCACAAAGGAAGCTTTTGGGGTGAAAGAAGCATTTTATCTTTTTGTGCATTCGTCAAGATCCAGACAACCACAACTTCAAGGGGTAGATTTTATTATGTGCAATTTTTTTTTTCCCTCAGTGAGCCTGACTTGGTACTTTCAGCGATAGGAACAACTGCGATTCCCCTCAATGTGACAGGCCTGACACGGAGCAAGTCTGCCCCACAGCACATGCTGTGCACTATGACGGCTGAGTCCCGCTCCTGGTCAGAGGCCAGATGAAAGTGAGTCCATATGTCCAGCACAAGAGACACGTTGAGTCTCTTCACAACAGCTTTATTCATAAGGTTCCAACAACGGAAACACTGCAGGGAGACAGCAACCCTGAGTGAGTAAATTCACACAGTGAAAACAGAACACTGCTCCCTGCACATCTACCAACGAGGCCTCGGGGATGGAGCAAAAGCAGTAGACCCTGAAGAACAAACACCCTGTGCTCCATTCCACGACTTTCCAGAAGAAAGTCAGTCCGCAGTGGAAGCACTGGGAGAGGAGGCCCTTCAGAGAGGATAGTGAAGTGACAGGTGGGGCGTGATGAACCCAAGGGCAGGCCCCAACCTGTGCCCGATGGGGGAGATGTGCTCGTCTGTGAAGCTTTAACAAGCTGTGCCCCAGTGACTTATTCTCATTTTACTACAGGCCAGTTTTAGGTGAGACTTTTGGTTTTTTGTTTAAAAATTGAGCCACACCTGGAGATGCTCGGGGATCAATCCTGGCAGTACACAGGAGACCATGTGCAGTGCTGGGGATCAAACCAGGATCAACTTCGTGCACGACAAGCACCTTGACCCCTGTCCTATCCTCTGGTAAGGCTTTTATACAAAACAAAATAGGGTCTAGGTGAATTTGTTCTGCAGGTCATAGTTAATCAATCCCAGACACACATAGTAAGATTATGAAAGTGTTACTTTTTGTTTTGTTTAGTTTCTCCACCTCTTTTATTTTTTACATGATTACATATATAATGTTAAGATTAATGTTAATATAAAAGTATAAAGGTAAAAGGTAAAGGCCCTCCCGTTGATCGTCGATTTGCTCGAGCGGGCCCAGTAACGTCTCCATTGGAGACTTTGTTGTTACTGTGTCTGGCATATCAGATACTCTCGGTAGCTTGCCGGGCTCTCCGAGAGGGGCGGAGGAATCGAACTCGGGTCGGCCATGTTGGCCGCGTGTAAGGCGAACGCCCTACCCGCTGTGCTATCGCTCCAGCTCCATAAAAGTATAACCAAAACAATATTCACCACGCAGACCTAACATCTCATGACGTCTGGCTGTTATTTTTTTCTGTGCTGGGCAATGAACCCAGGGCACATATATGCAAGTGTTCTACTGCTGAGAACACCCGAAGACTGTCTCAGTTAAATCTGCCTTGACACCATGAAACAAATGGAGACATTTCAAGCATACAAGAAAACACTCACCACAATATAAAAATTTTCAGCAGACAGTGTTAGGTAATCAGCACTCTATAAACAGTTGGGTCCTGTTCAAGTGACCGTTGGCCTCTCCCCCAAGTTGAATCACTTTCTATCTCCCCATTCTGTTTTTCCTTCACTGCACATAGAATGATCGTACTTATTGGAACATATGTTCTGTGCTTGTCCACTCGAATGGAAGCTTCACAGGGGCAAGGCCTGTCTTAGATTTGTTCACTGCCAATATCCCTAGGTCCTGGGAGGATCAATAAATACTTGCTGAATAAATGAATAGATAACAGAGTATTCAAAAGACGGTCAACAAGCATGGTACAGGAGTTGACCAGAAGATTAGGCTTAATACAAGAGACAGAGGTTACTGTCTGAAGACAGAGACAGGGCTCTGCACGTGTGTCCCCAAGCTCTCGGCTGGAACCCTAAAGGGTTGGGAAGGTGACACAGGTACAGCTTTACAAGGAAGGTTCCAGAGCTATTCTGAGCCTTCCTGCCATATAAGTCCACAGCAAGAAAGTGCTGGCTCTGAACCAAGCACAGAGGGGCTTCCCCAGCATAGCCCCCCATACTTCACCTTGGCCTGCCAGCTCCAGATGTGAGAACTAGCTGGTATGTGGTATTCTGTACCAGCACCCGAACAGACTAAGAAAAGGTCAAACTGTTCAAAACATAGCATGCCCTCCACCCCCAGCGCCACCCTGGCGAGCCTGAGGCCAGTGTGGCCAAGGGTTCAACTCCAAGCACCGCCTCACCCAGCCCAGTCAGGTCCACAGAGCAGAGTGCGAGACCCAGAACCCACACAAGCCGCAGCTGTCTGACCCTGGGGACCCTGTGACAATGAAAGCCAGGGACCCAGACAAAGCTATAGCATGCATGTGTATCATAAAACAGCAACAACAACAACAAAAATGAGGCGGTAAACGGACCACTTCTTTGATCTGCCTCACAATTTCAGCACAGCTGGGAAGACAGAGATTCAGAGGCAAGTCCAAAGCCCCAAACATGGAGGAATTTACATTCAAGAAAATCCAGTTTTCTTAGAGAAATGCAGCATCAGAGGCAGAGAGGAAAAAAGCCAGCATATTGGGAGAGCTGGACTTGATCCCAATGTTGCAAGAAACGGCGCTCAGTCACAGGAAGGTATCTGGAAGTGGCAAGTCCTGCTGTGGCAGTGGCTGGGAAGTCAGCATCGACTGAGCACATACCAGGCTGAGTCAACTCCTCTGATCTTCGTAACAACCCTGAGGGATCAGAGAGGGCAAACAACTTGCTCCTGAGCACACAGCCAGTCAGCAGCGGGACCTAGGTCTGGCAGCAGGTGAAAACCCACATGTCCAACTCTTGAGCACTAATGGCTTCTCCTGGAGTGGGAAGGTTGCAAGCACTCAACAGCCCACGTTAGACCCGAACTGATGAACCCCACCTGCTTTCCTGGCCCCCCCAGTCTTCTGGGGCCTGAGCCAAGTTCACATTGCTCAGGCACAATTAATGTTGAACATTTAGGCCAAGGCCGGCATGAGAGTTTGCCGAGTAACTGTGTGGGGTGCTTCACGCACTTTATCTCATGTAATTCCCACAGTGGCTCCGTAGCAAGAGAAGATTCTCCCAATATCCTCGATGCGATCGCTGGGCTCAGCTGAGGGGTCACCTCTGAAGTGACAGAGCTAGGGTCTACCTGTCTCTCCCCTGGCCCTGCTTGTGGAGACAGAGGCTTTCTTGGGCTCGACTGCCCCGAGGGAGTAGGGCCGAGAACACAAGTAAGCACTGGGAAAGCAGAATGAAGACATGAAAGCAGAGATGCCACGGGAAACGAATCGGGGAGACGGGGTCTCTGTGAGCTGCTTCAGAGAGGGAGGGGCAGAATTCACAAAGAAGGTACTGAAAGGGTCCCAGGCAGAGACTGCGGAAAAATGAACAAAACCCAAAAATCCTGCATGTAACCATCTGGATAATCATGACCAAACTTTTGGCAGAGTAAGCACACAGAACACACCTAAGTAATGGAAGTAAACTCCCAGGGCCCTGGGCATGCTCAGGAACCAGCCGTTCTCTTTAAGATGCCAGTTCAAGCTAGGACATGAGATTAATGCTGCAACGGGGCTGATTTCTAACAAACGGTCATTTGTCGGCTGATGTAAAAGGAGCTGGTCGTTTCCAGGGGTGGCATTTACTGGGAAGGTCCATATTTCACCATTCTTGCCAGCCATCAAGTGTCAGGTTCGGCAAAAATTACCCTGCTCCGGGATAAAATCCCCTCTGGTATGGGAGGGGGCGCCTGATGTGAAATGTGTCAGCATCCACGGCAGGGAAACAGGTTCTTATGAAATTATGAAACAGTTTCTCAAAAGCTCTTGCATTATTTATTTTCATGACACAAATACCAGTAATGTAATGGGAGTTTTTTTTTTAAAGTCACCTTAACATTGACCTAACCATATCAGAATACAATCCTGAAATAATGATTAACCTTTAATCACTACGAAACTGGTGTTAATTCCCGAAATTTCTCTTTTACTTCTAAAAGAAGAATCTAGATGAAGCACTGATTTTTTTTTCCTTCCCACACTATTATTGCAAAGTGGCTACTTTGCAAATATAAAAGTGTTTTTCCAGAGACTCACAAAGGAATCTCAGAAGAGAGCAGCACACTGCAGAGATGTCTCCCCACTCAGCGCCAGGCTGATCTCACCGGGACACCTCGGAGGGGAGCAGGTGTGTCCCTCCCTCTGCTCCAAATAAACCCCAGCAGCCACAAACCTCCACAACCCAATCCCTACCACGCCCATGGCCAACCTTCACAGGCTCGCCTGGAGCCCCCCACGCACAAGAATGAATCCGCTGAAAAACCCAGGTACATGGGCCCACTGACTGAAAACTCCAGGCTTCATGGAGTCAGGAATGGGTGACCTCCTGGCATCTCCCCATCCTTCCGGTTTTCTGGCTGTCAAGCCCATGAACTGCCTCTGGGATCCATTTAAGCACATTATCGGCCATGATCCAGAGACTCACAAATGAATCTTGGAAGAGAGCAGCACGCCACAGCGAGCCCTTCAGGCCCCAATTATTCAAATTTTAGAATTCCAGGAGTGACATCTCATACTATTCATATCAAGAAATACAAATAAATTATTTAGCATCTGTCTGAGGGGCAGGCTTCAGAGTGAGGTGGGAAAATTCGAAATAATGGTGATGGGAAGGTATAATGGTGGCGGGAGTGGTTTTGAAATACTGAACGTAATCAATTATTGTGAACAACTTTATGAAAATAAAAACTGAAAATTTAAAAACAACAACAAAAAAAAAACCCGTTTTCCCAGCCAGTTATTTGCTGAGGGAAAAGAGAACCATCTCTAACTCCGGAACTTTCCACAGCACCATGCAGCCTGCATCGGATATCCTTACTTTTGTGGTCTTTCCTTTAGGACCTCTAGCGAGTCCTGACCCAAAAGGCCCACCCCGAACTCTTCCTCCTATCTTCCTCCTCTAAACTCTACCCCAGGAGCGTTGCCAACTCATCTCTCCTTCCAAATGCCCCTCAGCATCTCTCACCCTCCAGAGGAAGGCGAGTCCCTCCCTCCTTGCTCAGGCAGCCCCCTTCTCCCGTATTACGGAGGCGTCTCTCTCCCTCCGGCCCTTCCTCAGTGACGTGTCAACAAGGAACTCTGCTGTCGGGATAGTCCCCACTTCCGTACGGCTCCCAGCTCTCCCTAGCTTCGCCCCCAGAGCCCAGGCACAAAAGATCCACTTTACTTACTGCTGAAACTGAGGCTGTCCTCACTGCTAGACAAGATGCAGGAAACAGCCGCCCTCCTCCCTGCTCTCTGCCTGGGGTCTCTCTCCTTCTGATTCCTTGGGTATGGGCCCCGGGGGCTTCTTTGGACGCACAGTTTTGATTTTCACTTTTCTACTTAAGCAACATTACTGCATTATTGAGTAAATCCCTCTCAACGTCCATAGCATGGCACAAAGTGGGTTTTTATCCATCCTGTTTCGAAACTGCACCAGGCTCTCTCCGATAAGAAAAACACGAGGCACCATGAAACACACTGGACACTAAAATACAACGCCCTCCAAGGTTCTTCTACTCATGCCAGTGCTCGTTTTAAAATTACATTTTATACTGAAGCCCTAGAGGCGGGGAATCTTCCCTCCGGCAGCTTACAAGTCAAGGGAGGGCGATGAACAATGAGCAAAGGAGCAGACCTGCACCCTCAGGCGCAGAAAGTGCGATCAGGAGGAGAAAGCAAGCACCCCCGAGAATGCTAATGGGATGGATGCTACGGTGCTGCTGGTGAAGGACTCACCGAGGTGACACTTGGGCAAACAGCCAAAGGAAAAAAAGAAGGAGAAGCCAATTCCAGGCACAGGAGTGAATGCCCCTGAACCGAGCTGGGGACAGGGCAGTGTGGCTGGGGCCCGGCGGGAGAGAGAAGCATGACAGAGGGAACAGGAGGCTGGCCGTGCTGCCCTCTGGAGGTGTCCTCTGGTTCTTGCTCCGAGTGAGCTCAACACCACTGCACACTTCAGAGCAAAGGAGGGCGACACGTGTCCGCGACGGCCGGGCATGGAGAAGCACAGAGCGCAAGGACCGAATCAGGGAGGCCTGCCAGGACATGCAGCTCCGCAGGTGAGCCCTGCCCGGGCACAGTGAGATCCTCGGCTGGATCCCCAGCAATGTAAAAATATAAGGAGATTTAAAGTGATAGTGGGGCTGGAGCGATAGCACAGCGGTAGGGCGTTTGCCTTGCACGCAGCCAACATGGCCGACCCGAGTTCGATTCCTCCGCCCCTCTCGGAGAGCCCGGCAAGCTACCGAGAGTATTCGATATGCCAAACACAGCAACAACAAAGTCTCCAATGGAGACGTTACTGGGCCCGCTCGAGCAAATCGATGAACAACGGGAGGACAGTGCTACCAAAGTGATAGTGGCACCGACCAAAGCGGTGGAGGGCATATTCGCCGATGGACTGGAGTGTGCAAGAAAAATCTGCACCAAAATGATGACTTCCAGGCTGTTGTACTGAGGAACTGGTACGGCAGAGAGGTAGTTTACTGAGATGGGGAAGACAGTGGGCCCAGGACACAAATGCAGGGCTATGGGGAAGATCAGGAGCTCAGTTTCGTACATTCTGGCTTTGGGATACCTTTTTTTTGTTTGTTTTTTGTTTTGGGTGGGGGAACTAACCAGGTGATACTCCTGGCTCTGCACTCAGGTGCTCAGGAGACCATCTGGGATGCCGGCGTTGAACCCAGGTCGGCCGTGTGCAAAGTATTGTCTTATTATCTCTCTGTATTATCTCTCTGGCCCCTTTGGGACACCTCCTAAGCATCCAAGAAAATTGGCCAATGAAGCAGCTGCTTTTTGCCTTGGAGTTCTGTGCCTGGGTCAGCAGTGAAGATGGAGGTTTTAAAACATGGGACGAGAGGAGATGCCCAAGGAGAGCAATCGGATAGAAATGTGCCTCTGGAAACCTGGAGATGAAGAAAACTCAGGGACGAGGGCCCAGGAGCAGCCAGGCAGGAAAAGGGCAGCCCAAAGCAACACATCATGATGAGAATGGGAACCACCCACGGACTCGGACTTGGCGACCCAGCAGTCACCCGGCAACCTTGGCAAGAATGAGGACAAAAGCTGAAGGATGGACACAAGAGTGAGGTGACAGGACGTGGAGAGAGGCAGGTCCCTCCGGCTGTCCATACGCCACACCGGGTGCTCTAAAAGTTAATTAAGACGGAACTTTCTTTGCCTACAGACCAATCTTATAACTTAGGTAACGTTTATCACCCCCAGACACAGGTGAGAGAAACAGGCTCGGAGAAGCTCTCCCTTCACTGAGTGAAGGCAGGGGCCCACCCAAGGTTGTTTACTTCCCCAGCCCAGGGTGGGCGACTCTGGGACAGAGACCCCCCAGTCTTCGTGCTTGTGGCCTATCCCTATTCCCAAGGAATCACCACCTCTCAGCCCTCTGGAGCCAGCTCTCTTGGGAACATCCACACAGACAGACCCTCTTCCCCTTCACGACCTGGTCGGCGCCCCTGTGGAGGAGGAAGGCTGGAGTGAGAGAGCACTGACCTGAGTTGGGGAGCACGGAGCCTTTGCCATTCTTCACATCTACCACCCACGTGGCTTCTTTCCCCCCAGGGCCATCCTTCACCTTGAAGGCGAAAATACCACCGATTTTCTTCACGAACTGCTCCCCTTCCTGGAAAGAGAAACAACAAGTGAGAAAGCCCGGCTTGAAGAAGTCTCAGAGCGTCCGAGTGATGAGGTGACTCGACTGGGGGTGACAGCAGCTTCCTCTCTTGGTTTCCGTCCCCAATACGTGTTTAAACAGCTACACGGCGCAATCTGGCTCTTTGGCTTGTGAAGGATGGCACTGGGGCTAGGGAGACAGCTCAAAGGGCCGAAGTGAAGGTTTGCACGCTGGAACAAACACAGGTTCAACCCCTGGCTCCACAGGGTCCCCCGAAACACCTCCAGGGATGGTCCCTGAGCGCTGAACCAGCAGTATTCTCTGGCAGGGTTGGGTGTGGTCCCCAAATACACACACAAAGGCTTTCTGGAAAGGGGAGGAAGGAAAGAGGCAATGTGGCGAGCAGGGCTACTCTGGAAACAGCTTCCCTGGCTCGAGAATTTCTGAAAAATTCACTCGGGCTCTCTGAATGAAGGAACCCCCAGTTTATAATTTTTTGATTTATTTTTTCCAGTCAATTCCTTTGCATATATTTCTGATATCCCATGTCAGAACATAGTGGGGTGTTTCTGTTTATTTGGGGGCTACACCTAGTGGTGCTCCGAGGGTCTGTGGTGCTGAGGGTTCGCGCATGCTGCTCTCTGATCACTGATTTTGGGGATCTGCATGAGGAACCATGAAAGTAATGTAACCACTTACTTTCAGATCTTGGGGGGATGATGCTGGACTAAACGGACAAAAGGAACCCAAGAGCTGTACCTCTGGAGGCTGCTGTCCTCTCTCCCTCCCTCACTCCCCTTTACTTCCACTGTTTCATCTTCCCTGACTCTGACGGAAACAAGAGTCTGGGCCCAAGCACTGATCTGGACACTACGCCAGAAGTAGGCGCCAGAAGGGCAGGTGACGGCTCGGCTCTCCAAGCACGTGACAGTGCCCTGACAGAGGAGACCAGGATTTCCACAGGGGCAGAGAGGCAGAGCGAGGCCAGCAGGGTGAGTGGAGGTGACCTCATGACCACATACTCACCTTTAAAACAAAACACACAGGGGCTGGAGTGAGAGCACAGCGGCCTTGCACTGCCAACCCGAGTTGGATCCCCAGCGCTCCATATGATCTCCTGAGCTGGCCACACATGAGCCCTGAGAGCACACCTGGACTAAGCCCTGAGCACCACCCCTCTTCTTTTGAGGGGGTGGCCTATGCCCACCCCCTCAAAAGAAGAATTTCAATCTATAAGGATGTAGATAACATATCAAACCTATCTAGAAAGTCTTTTTGGTTTTGGTTTTGCTTTTTGGGCCACACCTGGCGATACTCAGGGGCTACTCCTGCCGCTGACCTCAGGAATTACTCCTGGGGGTGCATATGGGATGCTGGGGATCCAACCCAGGTTGGCTGCATGCAAGGCAAAAGTGCTCTCCCCGCTGTACAACTGTTCCAGCCCCATGGCCATGGTTTATGACTAACACAGGGGCTATTCCAGAAGCAGTTTGCTGTAGCAGTATGCGACGCACTCTTTACTTCTGTGCTATCACCCCAGCATGACACTGAAGTTTTTTTTCTTTTTTGGGTCACACCCCGCGATGCACAGCGGTCACTCCTGGCTTTGCATTCAGGAATTACCCTTGGCGGTGCTCAGGGGACGATATGGGATGCTGGGAATCGAACCTGGGTCGGCAGCATTCAAGACCCTACCCGTTGTGCTATATCGCTCCAGCCCCAGACAATGAAGTTTTAGTTTCTTTATATATGTTATTTCTTTAATCTTCATGAAATCCTTTAAGTGGATGGCCAGGTATTTTTAATATTAACTCACTGAGCATAAAAATAAACAACCACAAAACCCAACTGAAGCTCATGAAGGTCAAGAACCTTGACACCATTTCCCTGAGACACCCACCACCCATTCCTGCTCTCACCACCACTGCTACCTCACCAACGCAAGCCTCAGCCCACAAGTTAACTCCTCTGGGAAGGCAGCCTAAACTGAACACTCCAAGGACTGGCCCTGTATGCAGGTACTGTGTTTCTGGTTAACAAAATTGGTTTTTTTTTCTCCTGGGAGAATTTGTTCACATCTCCTTTCTCACTAAGCAATGTCCCCAGAGGGGCAGGGAATTCTGCTAGCGAAGCAGCAGAACCAGAGCACAATCCTAGACTAATTCGGCTCCAGATTCAATGCTCCTTTAATCTGACTAAACTGCACTATAAAGGAGGTTACCGTGAACACTTTCAAACATCAGCCTAGGAAACTTCAAAATGAAGTTTCAAACCTTAAAATGAATTCAAAGGAAGTTTAACATTTATTCCACATCTCTGAAAGTCTTTACTTCGCCGAGCTTCTTCAGAAACAATCTAGAAGGGTGAGTTCATGAGCTGAGCTGACCTGCCCAAGTGCCAGGATAACCCGAGGGTCCTTGCTTGTAGAAGGCGACCACCAGGCATAGCATGCCCACCACCGCACAATGTCACAGTTAGAGTAGGACACCAAGTTAGTGCAGTTAACATACTTGGAGGAAAACTTCGCCCACCCCCAAGACAACAAACACAAATTAATAGTGCACTTGCTGTTACTTTTGATAACATACTGATCCTCTTGTAAAATTACATCCTCTGGTCAATAAAACATTTTTCAACTAAAGAGTAAGCGGCAAGGAACCAACAAAGAGAATAGAGTTAAAAGGGGAAGGAAAGTACACAGAACGTTGCAAAACTGCAATCGTTAATACTAAAAATATTCTCAGTGCCTCCTTCGGTCAAGAAAAGCACTTAAGTAGGTGAAAGGTCAAGGAGTAACGTCTGTTGTAAACTTAATGGGAACAAAAAAATTAGGCCAGAATTCAAAGCAGGGGAAGGGGTAATGCTAACAAGAAATAAAATCTCTTGCTTGGTTTCCTTTGCTCATACACATGAATTGACAAAAGGTTCGAAGCTTTTCGCTTTCTAGTGCGACAGACATTCAGAAACTGACAATCGTGGGAAGGAGCAAAGAAACTAGGCAAGGTCCAAGGTAGAGGCTAGGAGGGAGGAAAAAGGAATCCAAATGGAACAACGAGGCAGACATTTGAAAAGCTAGAAGACTGAAACAGAAACAGCAATACTCTGGTAATCAAGTATTCCTGGGCTGGCATGCAGTCATATCTTGTGCTGATCCTCTATTTCTATTTATGTTTGGCAGGAGGGAGGTGGCGGTGGTGTTGGGCCCACACCCAGCAATGCTCAGGGGTCAGTCCCGGCAGGGCTCAGAAAACCCTGCGCAGTTCTGGGGATCGAAAAAGAGTCCACCCGTTGCAACACGAGCATCTTAACCCCTGTACTATCTTCTCCTGCCCGTGATATATTTATTTTTGAGAGCTAAGAGTGGAAACAATGAAGCAACTTGGCAGAAGCTACGGTCTTAGAAGTGATTACACCAGCAAACACTGATAGCATGAATAAAAGCAAAATTAATAAAATTTCTAATCTGAGTCCTTAATAGTGTCTAATTTTATTGTAATAAAAAATTCAAAACACAAGGATGACATTATCTTTTTCTTACTAGATTAGCAAAGATTTCTTTAAAAATCAGCCAAAAACCATGATCCAGAGACATGCAAATGAATCTCGGACCCGAGCAACTTGCTGCAGAGACAGCTCTGGACTTTACACTAGGCCTTTTTCACTGGGCCGCTCTAGTCAGGGGCAGGTGCCGTCCCTCCGCCTGCCCCCTGGGAATCCGGGCGGCCGCCATCTTCTAGAACTCAGTGAAAAGCTCCGGGGATGGGCGGCAGTGCTGGGAAACTCCAGGCCTCACGGGACAGGGGAGGGGTTGGCCCTTCTTCCCCCTCGCCCCATGGGACTCTCAGAATATGTCTACTTAAGCTCCCACAATGATCCAGAGACACACAAATAAATCTCAGACCCGAGCAACTTGCTGCAGCGATCTCTCCAGAACCTAATTATTAAAATTTTAGAATTCCTAGACATTATATTGTATCCATAACAAGCAATACAAAACAAACTGTCTAGCATTGCATTTTCGGCAGGTATGGGTGGTGGTGGGACTGGACACAATATCGAAGGTAACCAAAGTAGAGAGAGAGTATTGTGCAAGTTGTCTGACACACAGGCAGGGGTAGGTGTGGAATGGGGGGCGGGGGGAAATACTGGGGACTTTTGGAGTGGAAAACGTGCACTGTGAAGGGATGGGTGTTTGATGATTGTAAGATCAAAGTTCAAACATGAAAGCTTTGTTACCATACCTCACAGTGAATCAATTTTAAAAAACAGCCAAAAAGGACAAAAAAACCCCAAGAGGTTAAGGCACTGACTGACTTGCATGCTGCTGACCCCAGTATAATAGTTTGATCCCTGGCACCACTTGGTCCCCTGACCACTGCTGGGGGTCAGTTGCTCCTGAGCACAAAGCTGGGAGTAGACTCTGAGCACCAACTGGTATGTCTCCAACCAACCCTCACCACCACCTCCAAAAAAAGAGAACAGCCAACACAGCACTGGAGAAGGTATAAAGTACAATCACTGGCAGGAACTACTGGAACTGTTCTTTTTTTATTTTTTCATTTTCTTCCTTTTTTTTATAATTTACTTATTGAATCACCGTGAGAGCAGTTACAAAGCTTTCGGGTTTAAGTCTCGGTCATACAATGAAACACCCATACCTTCACCAGTGCCCATTCTCCAACCACCAAAAACCCCAGTATACCCTCATCCCACACCCTCCCCCCACCTGTGGGGCAGATGATTTCCACATTACTCTCTCTCTACTTTGATTACATTCAATATTTTGACACCAGACCCACCATTATTATTTGGAATTTTACCCCAATACTCAGATCTGCTGAAAAGGCAACGGTAGACAATTTGTTTTCTAATGCTGGTTGTGAACAACGTATGATGTCGTGTGGCTACAGTAGTGGCCTCGCAATTTTGAAATTCTGAAATTTTAACACGTAAATCTGGAGGGATTTCTGCCAAAACCTGCTGGGTTCCAAGACTTGTTCCTGAGTCTCTTGGATCATGGCTGTTAAGCAGCTTGATCAGGAGGCAAAAAGGCCATTCATGGGTATCGACTCAGGGTCTCGTTGGGATGGGGAGGAAAGGGCCGGCTCCACCCTCATCCCATGAGGCCCCGCATGTCTCGTCACTGCGGGCCCAAACCTGACTGTCCAGTGGCCTCTGGAGGATAGCGGCCACTGAGTCGCCAGGGGGAACAGGCCAAGGCACAAAACCTATTCCCACCTGGGGTGGCCCAGCGCCAGTAACCTACTGCAGGGACTGGATGCATTACTGTCAAAAGTCGCTGAGTTTCAAGGTTTGTTTCTGAGTCTCTGGGATCATGGCCATTAAACAGCTTGATCAGGAATCAGAGAGGCTGTGCCTCCAATTATATAGCTAAGCCGAAGGTGGTTTGTAGGTGTGTCTCCCACATACCCACATACCTAACTTGGTAAACTTTGCCCCAAGTTTCTGGGGTCTGGCCAAAGGCACAGCAGCAATTTTGGGGTATCTGGAAGTCTGAAGGCACCATCAGGCTACTGATGCACTCTCCTCACAGGTACAGATTGACCTGCTGGCAACACCACCCCCTCTGAGGAACTGTTCTTTCATTAGCAAACCAGCACATAGTTTTGGCAGGTAGTTGAGTAATCTGTACCAAATATAAAATGTATCTACCCAGTGACCCAACAATCTCCCTTCTTAATTATGCTAAGGGTTAGCATGGCAATAAGGATCTAAAGAACATTGGAGGAAGTTTATTATACCATAGTTTTAGTTGAGAAACTTAAATACAATCTCATCTTCATCATAGGAGTCTAATTTGATAGAATGCAAACATAAAAACGTGGTCATTTCAAAATGAGCGTGTTGCTAGGGACCCCAGGGATGGGCCCTTCAGCTTCTTGCTCAACCTGGATCATGAGTTTTGGGTCAGAACAACAACTCATGGAAAGGATCCTGGTCAACCTGTTCCAGAACCTTCTGGCCAGGGAACAAGGCATGGAAACAGGTGAGGAAAGTTGCTATGTAAGTATTCAAGCAAGAAGCTCAGCTAACAGAGAGCACAGGCGTGGCTGAGGGACTCCCCCACTCTGGATGGGCTGGGGGCTCTTAACACCACAGAAACACACAAGTTTAAATCTTCCGAATCCTCCTATTTCAGCCCACTCTGCTTGCCTTTATAAGATGCATGACTGGAGTCGAGTATGTGTGAAATAGTCTATTGTTGGTCTCAAAATTAAAATCAGCAATAAAATCCCAAGAGAAATACGTTTGAAACAATGAAATAGGCGTGTCTAATTTTTCCTGAAGGAAATGACTTTTTAAACAGATGCAGTATGATTGCTGCCTATCAGGAATTATTGTCTGTAAAACAGATCTGCAGGGCCAGAGGAACACGCACCAGAGGGGGAAAAGTACTCGCCTTACCACATGTGGCCAAGCCCAGCTTTATCCCTGGCACTGCACGTGGGTTTCCAAAGCACTCTTAGGGGTTACTAAGAACAGTTCAAGAAATAGCCCAAGTGCTATCAGATGTGACCGCCGCCACCGCCCGTACCATCCTCCCACCCCCCCCCCCCCAAAAAAAATCAATCAAAAGGGGCCAGAGCTATAGTAGAGCAGGTAAGAGTGTCTGCCTTGCACACAGCCTACCAGGGCTCAATCCCCAGCACCCGATACAGTCCCCCAAGCACTGGCAGGAGTAATTCCTGAGTCCAGAGCCAGGAATAAGCCCTGAGAACCACTTTATGGCCCCAAAAAAACAGTAACAACAAAACCAAAAACTGTACTGACATGAAGAGTAACAAATTGAGAAAGCAGTATGTATTGAATGAACCTTGCTATGTAAAACATGAATTTATATACACAGTGGTGTTTAAAAGAATGTCAGTCACTGTTAGCAGTGCAGTCAATTCTGGGTAGCAAGATTGCAAGAGATTTAAAATTTCCGGATTTACTAACCACAAGTGTGTGGGGGGCTGAGGGTAGGTAAGATAGAGAAGAGACTGCTATGACAATAATAATTGGGAATGATCACGCTGGACAAGATCCAAGGGTTAAAAGTAGGTAAGGGATATTCTGAATAACTTTTCAGTATCAATATTGCAAATCACAATGCCCAAAAGCAGAGAGAGAGAGAGAGAGAGAGAGAAAGAGACAGAGAGAGAGAGAGAAAGAGACAGAGAGAGAGAGAGAAAGAGACAGAGAGACAGAAAGACAGAGAGACAGAGAGACAGAGAGAGGAGAGAAGAGGCAGGCAAGGGGTGGGGGTAGGGGGTGATAGAAGGGAACCTGGGGATACTGATGCTGGGAAATGTACACTGGCAGAGGTGGAGGGATAGGTGTTGCAATTCTGTATGACTGAAATTCAATCATGAATGGCTTTGTAATGCTCTAAAAAATACTGTCAGTAGCACTGTTCTTTTTCAAGTAGCACTGTAGCACTGTCCTCCTGCTGTTCATAGATTTGCTCGAGCGGGCCCAGTAACGTCTCCATTGGAGACTTTGTTGTTACTGTGTTTGGCATATCGAATACGTCACAGGGAGCTTGCCAGGCTTTGCCGTGCAGGCGAGATCCTCCCGGTAGCTTGCCGGGCTCTCCGAGAGGGGCGGAGGAATTGAACTTGGGTCAGCCAAGTCGGCAGCGTGCAAGGCAAACGCCCTACTAAATTAAAAAAAAATGAAATAAAATTTCTGGATTTTTGTTACTATTGTTGTTGTTGTTATTAGTTTTGGGGCTCTACTTATGGTTACTTCTGGCTCTGTGCTCCGGTATCACTCCCGGTGGTGCTAGGAATTGAATGGGATTGACCACACACAAGGCAAGTGCCTGGATCCCTGTATTTCTTTTAAAATTTCTTTTTTCACATTTCTGTAGACTGTAATTTTTTCCCCCTTTTTGTGGTCCCAGGGATAAAGCCTGGAACCTCACAAGACAAATGCTCTACTGCCAGCAACACCCCCAGCCCAGTGTGAAAGGTTTTTATAATGACAGAACTCTCACAAATTTACACAAGTCTTACCTCTTCAAGCTTCTTCTCGATCTCCTTGAAGACGAGATGTGACTTAAACCCATCGCCTGCAGAGCCGGTTGGAGCAGCCTCGATGTTACGAGTTCTGAAAGAACTGGGGCAAAGAATCCAATTCAACTCAGCGTCACACAGATCCTCAGCTAACCAACATTTATAATAGCAGTTTCCCAGAGAGATTTTGGGATCCAAAGCAAAGAAAATCATTATTAGGTCTAGGTAACAACTACGGTATTTCCTACATTTTCCAACAAATATTGAGTGTTCACTTAGATACTAGGTACCATTCTTGAAAATGTAATGAATCAAAGGCCCTACCCTTCCTGATGCTTCTATATTCTAGTGAAAAGAAACACAAACAGAAAGAAAAAGACAAGCAAAATAATAATAAAAAAGTTACTAGAGGTCAGAGAGACAGTACACAGATTAAGGTTATTTGCATTGCATGTGGTTGGCCATGGTTCAACCTTCACCAGCACAGATGGTCCATCTTCCCCCATCAACCCCCCCCCACAGTTATCCCTGAGCAGAGCACAGCCACGAGAGTTCCCTGAGCACAGGAGTAAGCCTGCTTTTTAGGGGTGTGACTTCCCCTAAATAAACAGTACCATACTGAGGGCCAAACAGTACAGGAGGTAAGATGCTCGCCTTGAGCACAGCTAAGCCAAGTTGAATTCCAATTCGATTCAGGCATTGCGTATGATCCCCGGGTTACCACCAGGGGTCACTCCTGAGCAAAGAGACAGGGACAACCCTTGAGCACCTCTGGGTGTGCCAGCCCTACCCCCTATTTACTATCAAGTCAACTGGCTGAAGAGATAATACAGTTGGACCCCTGGCACCCCGAGCACCACCAGGAGTAAGCCCTGAGCATGCAGGATATAACCCGAAAACACAAATCAAAGTATACAGGGGGTGGGGGGGTAGGGGGGACACAAAGAGAAAGTGGCAGAGTTATGTGAGCTGAACATTCTATTTTAGACAGATGGTGAGATAAGTTCTTCTGAGAACATTAAAACTGAGCCTTAAGTTACACAAGTGAGCCAATCATGCGAAGATTTGAGTAAACTAGTTCCCGGCTAGGAAACTTCTAGTATAAAGAACCTGACGTAGAAAGTAGCCAAAGAGTCAGGGATGGTGCAAGAACCCATTGCGTTGCAGGGTGAGGGGTGGGTTCAGTCCCTGGCAGCAGGTACCCGCCATCCCCAATAGTAAACAGTACCGGGAAACTGGCTTGGGGCTAGGAAGGCCAGAACAGAGCAGCAGAAGGATCTAAGGTCCCGGCACAAGCAGGGCAAGAGACCAGGTCACTTGACAGGTGAGGGCCCCAACTCCAGGTTTTATTTTAACCGAAATAAACAGGAAGAACAGGCCCCAGATGGATTCCTTCATGCCTGGCTCCCTCCATGCTTACATCTGATCAAATGCAGTTTAACCTCTCCCTAAGGGATTATAATCTTCAACCCATCAATTTGGAGCCCCTGTAAGCAGCAACCAGAGGTCCTCTGAGGGGGAGAAAGCCCCTCCCTGTTTTTCTCTGTACCTTGCAGGCTTTCCCTGAAATAATAACCCAGACACACCCTCTGTCTATTTAGCTAAACGTCCCCCCTTTTTCTGGCTCTCCCAGGGGCCTTTCTCAAGGGGTGCTGGTTTGCCTCTGTACCTTTAGTAACGTCAATCTCTCAATGTGTCTTTCTTTTTAACAAATGGGAAGTTTAGGGTATATACTGGAAAGAGGCAGACGCAATTTAAACGGTGTAAAAACATGCCCCTGGCTGCCAGGTGGGAAATGGGCTGCAGGGGGCGAGGGGGTGCCAGGCACGGCAGTGGTCCACGAGGCACTGAGGGAGTGGGGAGATTCCTTTCCACGTGAGACACAAGAGGACCTGAACAACCGTGGGGGCTTGCCGGCTACTAAGGCAACAACCTTAGACCCATGGCCTGATGTGGAACCCCAAGGTTCCAGGCCTGGGCGAGAACCCCAACAGTTTCCCCCTCCAGTTCTGAGCAGGTGACTTCATCTCTGTGAGCCCCGTGGGGAGGTGGCCAGGAGCCAGGCACTGTAGGATGAACCGGACTCCTGTGAGTAAGGCGCCTAGCAGAGAACCTAAGGGCTCTGGACCCCCGAGAGCGAGGGATTTAGGAACCCAGGTAATTCCAGGGGCACGGCACGAGCCTGGGGGAGGGGGTTATGGCAGATGAAAGGAAGTCCCCAGGCAGACAGCACCCTCCTTTGAGTGCCCTCACCTAAGCCCAAGTAGCTGGTGGGACAGCAGGGAACCCCCTCACACACACTGGGCATCAGTTTCTTTTTCATTTTTGTTTTTATTTGGGGGTCGTATCTGGCAATACTCAAGAGGTTACCCCTGGCTCTGCACTCAGGAATTACTCCTGCTAGCGCTCAGGGACCATATGGGGTGCTGGGGCTGGACTCTGGGCTGGCTGCTTGCAAAGCTGTCAGGGAATCACTCCACCAGTACCTGGAGCCCGCAAGCTCGAACATGTGTGGTGCGGAGACGGGAGTTTGACTCGGAATGGTAGCCACTGCCAAACTGCTCCTGGGTCCTGGTATACCTCCGTGTTAGCAAACTCATTTTGTCCTTCAAGAGCCAGACCAGGAAATGCTGTTTCTGTGAAACCCTTGTAAATGTCAGCTTCTCAAAAGCACCCACTTAAAAAAGCCTCTGGGGATGGGGTTGTGGCCGAGTGGCACATGGTCCTGGGTTCAACCTGACACGACATATCCCCTTCACTACCACTGCCAGGCATAGCTCCCATTAGTAAAAAATTGGTGGTGTGTGTGTGTGGGGGGGGGGGAGGGGTGTGATCCCTACAGTAGGCAGGGCACTTGCTTTGCAAGAGGTTGACCCAGGTTTAATCCCCGGCCCCCCTGATGGTCCCCCATGCCCTGCCAGGACAGATTCCTGAGTAGAAAGTCAGGAGTAATCCCTGAAGAACTGTCAGGTATGCCCACCTGCCCTGTGCTCCAAAAACAAATTTTTTAAAAAAATTATATCCCCAGTTCCTAGCATACAACAGATACTGAGTAAACTGTGACCAAATGCAATTGGAATAGCGCTGACTGGCCCCTACCTATATCCAAATTTCTTCCCTCACTGAGAACACAATTATCGACAGTATCTTCTTGGTAAAAAGTGGGGATGAGTCACCTAAATAAAATCAAGTGGCTGCGAGACCTCTACAGTCAAGTTCATTTCATAATTGATGCCGCTTTTTCAGCTTCTAATCAGTGTAGAAAGCGGTGGGAAGGGGCTTGCCTCATATGCGGCAAAACCGGGCTCAAATCCCAGCATCCCATAGGGTGCTCCAAGCAATGCCAGGAATGATTCCTAGGTGCAAAACCAGGAGTAACCCTTGAGCATTGCCTGTTGTGGCCCTAAAACAGTAACAACAAGAAGCAGGGTACAGAGCATCTTGATATAGACTGTCCCCTACCACAGGAAGCTGTTGTTTGAAATAGAAACAGAAATTCAAATGCTGAGTAGGATCTTTTTCCAGATTAGCAATATGTGCTACAAGACTCTGGCCGCCGAAGAAACCCTCCACAGAGTCTGAACAATCACAGATCAGGAACATGGACAAGTGACATTCAACTAAGTACTGTGCAAGTGGCATGCTCAACTGGTCACTGATCAATGTGGACAAAACCCCTAGGAAGCCAGGGCAGTGTGTACTTAATGCAGTGGATCAGATCCATAGAGGTCACAGATACGGCTTTATCTTGTTTCAAAAAGCTCAACAAACAGATCACTAGCCAACTTTTCACTCAGATTAGGGGGAAAGTTAATAGGCCGTTTTGTCAACATTTTCTAAAAACTCCCCATTTCTTAATAGTTGATGTGCCTTGCTCTAGGGAAACTGAATATAACAAGTTCATAAAAGAGATGACTCCATTATAAAAGGATGTTCCTCATGAATTCTTTATATACAGAGCTGTATGAAACTGATTTTTTAAAAATTTAGTTTCTATTGTGTAAATGTACCAGTTTCTTCATCCAGTCTTCTGCTCTCAGGCACTTGGACCGTTTCCAGATTCTGTCTATTGTGAACGATGCTGCAATGATAAAGAAACTATGGTACATCTACACGATGGAATACCACACAACTGTTAGGAAACATGGAGTCATGAAATCTGCTTATTAACAGATGGATATGGAGAAATCATGCTAAGTGAAATCAGGCAGAAGGAGAGGGACAGATATAGAATGAATGCATTCATTTGTGGAATACAAAAAGAAAATTGTATGAGACCAGGGGATGGAGCGATAGCACAGCGGGTAGGACATTTGCCTTGCACGCGGCCAACCTGGGTTCGATTCCCAGCTTCCCATATGGTCCCCTGAGCACCACCAGGAGTGATTCCTGAGTGCATGAGCCAGGAGTGACCCCTGTGCATGCCGGGTGTGACCCAAAAAAGAAAAAAAAAAGGTATGAGACCAATATCTAAAGCCAGGGAAAACAGAAGCCAGGAGGACTAGTCATTGGTTGGAAGCTTGTCACCAGGTGGGTGGTGGGTGGGGGGAGGGGGGCAGAGGGCAATTAGAAAAGGAATCAGTATGATAATAGTTGGAAATGAGCACTCTGGACAAGAACTGAGTGTTGAAAGTAGGTAAAGGGATACTGACAACCTTTCAGTATCGGCATTGCAAACCATAATGCCCAAAAAGGGAGGGAGAAGGGGAGGGAGAGAGAGAGGGAGAGGGAGAGGAAGAGGGAGGGAGGAGGAGGAAGGAGAGGGGGGAAGGAGAGGGAGGGGAGGAGGGGGAAGGAGAGGGAGAGGGAGAGGGAGAGGGTGAGAGGACATCTAGTTTCCTGGGGGGGGGGAATCTAGCACATGAAATGTTGAAAGGGATTCTGAAGATTAACTAGCAAGATTTCCTACTCGGTGTATCAATTCTTCCATGCTTTCTGAAAAATTTCATTCTAAGGCTCAAAATCTAGGCACTGCTTAATGATGTGAAAGCTGAGACACACAGAATCAACAAGAATGTGGGAGCCTCGGACTCCGGAGAAAACAGTCTTCAGCTGCCACTTAAGGCTCTCTGTAAATTAGTTGTTTTGACTCCAATCATCAGT